GTAGGTAGGTACTACTACCTACATACTTACCTACCTACTTGCTTACCTACCTACCTACATACTTACCTACCTGCTTGCCTGCCTGTCTGCTTGCCTTACTGCCTACCTACTTATTTACACAAACTGAAACTGTGATGACCTCAATAAAAACATTTGTATTTTCGCAACCTTCTGGAAAACAATTACAACACAATGCAACAGTGTCTTTATTCTACAAGTAATTGACCAATAGCTCTTTTCCTTCACCATCAGCTCCTCCCATTCATCAGCAGCCCCTCCCATTCATCCCTCCCATTCATCACCATCAGCACCTCCACATTATCAGTAGCCCCTCCCCAACATCACAATCAGCCCCTTCCCTTCACCAGTAGCCACTCCATTCCATTACCATCAGATAGATAGTTCTGATAGCTCCATCATTACAAAAACACACATATATATATAGATATCAGGGTATATAAAAAAAACAATTCAAGACCTTTTTTAAAGAAAGCATTTTAAATGAAAATATAATTTATTTGTCGCATGCTTTAGATTATTTTCTTGGCACCCTAGACCAGGGTCGTAACAACCTCATCAGCACTTTAGGTTTCAGCTGGCAACAGTATACTGACTAAATACTGACAGTAAAAAAGCACAACTAAAGACACCTTAGCTCATGATAACTCCATATCAGTGCAATAGAATTCACAAGGATGTGATCCACTTCTTAGCACAGATGGCATCAAGAAGAAAGAACATTATGTAGAAATACTGAAGCAACATCTCGAGACATCAGCAAGGACATTAAAACTTGGTCACAAATGGGTCTTCCATACAGACCATGACCCTAAGCACACTGCCAACCTAGTTCAAATGTGCTTTAAAGGGTCACAAAACACCAAAACACATGTTTTAAGCTGTTGACAGTCGTATATGTGTCCCACACTGCTAAAAACACTATTAGGACACAGATATTTCACTAAAAAGTAAAAAATTGGTTGTTTTTGCATTATTTCGTGCAAATTCGTAATTTTTGAAAGCTGCGTTACGGCCATGAGATCTTATCGTGTATTCCAGCGTGTAGACTGGACGTCTGTACCAAGGTGTCCTGTATTACGTCTCTGAGTGTGCTGCATTCATTCATGAGTTAGACTTGGTCCAAACCAATCAGCGCGCTCTATTACGTAAGCGCTGTAACTTCATTCATATGCATGCTAGCTTTCTTAGACTGTACCTGAAACAGTGTTCAGACGGCAGAGAGCATTTCTCATCAATGGTGAGATCCGGATTTGCTGCTCGTCTCCTTTAGCAAAAGACGCAGCTCCAGTATGTGCTGATTATCCTGTCTACAGATTTGGTAAGTGTGTAAGATCAGGGGTTCGTTCTTCGTACCTCGCTTAAATGATCTAAGATTATTTGGCAGATCCCGGATCTTTTGATCTCGATAACTGATCTCTCGCTAATTTGGTTCTTCAAACAAGTTCGCGAATCAAATTAGAATGTCTGGATGAACTGATCTGAGATCGCTGCGTGTGTTATGAAGGACAGATCTATCGATCCTCAAAATCATGATCAGCAGTGCAGCGATTGGCTGACGGCACAGCAGCGTAATGACATCATCTGATTAATATTCAATTATCCATGTGAGCAAAATTACATCAAATTAGCAGTAAACGGCTTGTTAAATATGACACGCAGTAACCTTCCACATTTGTTGTGAGCTGCAGGCTTTACACTTTCATGTGTCAAAGACAAGAGTATTCATCATGTATTTCAATGCAAATCAATGTATTTAGTTCTACATTTATAAAAGATTTTCTTTATTATAGTAACCGTTTTTTAATCGGTGTAAAGAATAACTGGATGTTTACAAAAGCATTTTCATATTGGTAAAGGCGTCTGCAACTTTTGTGAAGCATCAAATCAAATCACCGGCATATTAACTATCAAGACATGTTTATGACTGCATTAATGTATTATTGCCTTAAAAAAAGTCACATATTGTGCATTTCTATTATACACAATTTGTACTAAAGCGATCTAAAAAGTTCATATCAATAAGTTTTCTCTTTGCACCACCAGGTGGCAGTCTTTGTACTTTCATTTCGAGGGTGCAGATTGCATACGTTTTATTAATATGTATAACTTTATTTATTTTATTAATGACTATAACTTTATATATATAGTTAAAAAATAATGTACCATTTTCCCAAGTGTAAATAACTACTACTGTAAGAAAATATCAGAACTCGGTACATACTTTCTGTATTATCTTTGCTTGAACTGAGCCGATCTAATCCTGTTTATATGAATTGAACCTGCTCCCGATCAGGGGTTTGTTCTTCGTACCTCGCTTAAAAGATCTAAGATGATTTGGCAGATCCTGGATATTTTAATATTGATAACTGATCTCTCGCTAATTTGGTTCTCCAAACAAGTTCGCAAATCAGATTAGAATATCTGGATGAACTGATCTGAGATCGCTGCGTTTGTTGTTAAGGACAGATCTATCGATCCTCGAAATCATGATCAGCAATGCAACGATTGGCTGACGGCACAGCTGCGTAATGACATCATCTGATTAATATTCAATTATCCATGTGAGCAAAATTACATCAAATTAGCAGTAAACGGCTTGTTAAATATGACACGCAGTAACTTCACATTTGTTGTGAGCTGCAGGCTTTACACTTTCATGTGTCAAGAGTATCATCGTGTATTTCAATGCAAATCAGTGTATTTAGTTCCACATTTAGAAAAGATTTTCTTTATTATAGTAACCGTTTTTTTAATCGGTGTAAAGAATAACTGGATGTTTCCAAAAGCATTTTCATATTGGTAAAGGCGTCTGCAACTTTTGTGAAGCATCAAATCACCTGTTTTAATTGTCAAAACATGTTTATGACTGCATAAATGTATTATTGCTTTTAAAAAAAGTCACATATTGTGCATTTCTATTGTACACAATTTGTACTAAAGCGATCTAAAAAGTTCATATCAATAAGTTCTCTTTGCACCACCAGGTGGCAGTCTTTGTGCTTTCATTTCGAGGGTGCAGATTGCATACGTTTTATTAATATGTATAACTTTATTTATTTTATTAATGACTATAACTTTATATATATAGTTAAAAAATATGTACCATTTTCCCAAGTGTATATAACTACTACTGTAAGAAAATATCAGAATTCGGTACATACTTTCTGCATTATCTTTGCTTGAACTGAGCCGATCTAATCCTGTTTATATGAATTGAACCTGCTCCCAATCAGGTTTGACCTAGCAGAACTGTTGCCATGACAACAACTCTCGGATCAGCTTTGAAGAACGAAACGATCCTGGATCTTGTCAAATCGTCAATATCCAAATCCAGCTAACTGAGTAATCCACGTACGAAGAACGGACCCCAGCGCCCTTTCTTTGTTCATTCAGATGACAAAGTTATAGTTGGTATGGTCAGCAGAACTCTTTCAGTGTTTACAGACAGACCTTAGTCAAAATGATTTCTATGTTAATTAGTTTACAGTTTGTTAATATCACTACAATATTGAAAGATCCGCTGTAAACGCTGCTCTCTGAGTGTAAACACATGAACACTGTAAGCAAACTTTTGCCGACTGTCGTGGTGTATTTTCGCCTCATTTTGCGACAGGATAGTCTACACAAACTCGGCTTTCTGACCTACTGAGTGCATCCAAGTTACAGACAAATGCCGAGGCTTTTTTCTCTTATACGACGTGCTGTATCAAACATTTCACCGTCATTAAACACACTGTCCTTCTCCCCTGCGTGTGTGTGTGTGTGTTTGTTTTTCCTCGGTCCTCAGCCCGTGCCCAAATGGCAACTCCCATTTTTATTCAAACCCTGCCCATTTCCCCTCCCCCAACACTCCCACCTAAACAGAGCTAGACACACCCACTTTCCTGACTTTTTCCAAACTAGAGGTGTGAAGACATCCTGCTGAAACGGGGGGTTCATGGCTCTTTAAGGACAACAGAGTGAATGTTTTGGAGTGGCCATCACAAAGCCCTGATCTCAATCCTATAGAAAATTTGAGTAGAGTTGAAAAAAGCTTGTGCGAGCAAGACAGCTAACAAATCTGACTCAGTTACAGCAATTCTGTCAGGAGGAATGGGACAAAATTCTTTCAAACTATTGTGAGAAGCTTGTGGAAGGAGACCCAAAACATTTGACCAAAGTCATACAGTTTAAAAGCAAAGCGAAAAAAAATACCAAGGAAATGTGTGTAAACTTTTGACTGTCTAGAAATTAATGAAAAAATTCTCTCATTATTCTGCCATTTAGCAAATGTAAATCATTTAGGTAATCCTAACAGACCTAAAATAGTAAACGTATAGCATTATTTACCATCAGCCTTGTTTTTTTAAATAGTTATGGTCCTTTTTTAGACTGTGTGTAAACTTCTGGTTTCAACTGTATTTACTCGACTCCCCCTATGACAGGTTTTGAAGAGAGAGAACAAACTTTTTTTTGCTTGGGGGAACAAAACTTGGAGTACGCATGTCTCTGTCCCCGTTTTGACTTTCTAAATGAGCTATATACTCCGATGTGGAGCTGCTGTTGTTGACATACCCGTTGTGCGGTGAGCTGAGGGCAGGTTTGAGAGCGTACGACACCGGCTTGATGACAGGACCCGCACTGCCACTGCCAGGGGAAGCAGAGAATGGCCGCGCCATCTTGTTTATAGCGGTGCTCGGAGCGAACGAGTATTTAGGCTGACTGGATGAAGATGTGAGTGAGTCCTGAATGTGGAGAAACACACAGCGCAAAAACAACACCATGCAGATTAGATCATGCTCACACACACACAAATGCACAACCCCAGACAAGGTTTAAATGCTTAAAGGGATAGTTCACCCAAAATGACAATTCTGTCAGCATTTTGGAAACTGGTTGCCATTTAATACCATAGAATGAAAACAACAATACAACTGAAGTTGATGGCTTCAAACAAATATTGTTCTGTGTTCAACACAAAACTTAATAGGTGAGACTTTATGTTGCAAACTGGGAGCCATTAAATTCCATAGTAGACAAAAAGTCAATGGTTTAAAACAATATTTGTGCGTTCAACAGGGAAAAAAGAAAATTAAAAGAGATTTCATAAATGATTTAAACCAGTAGAAAATAGTATTTTTATTCCTACTGTGGTAATTTAATGGCAACAAGTTTCTAAAAATATTTTTTCCAAATATTTAAATTAATATTTAATAGAAAACATAAATGAAATATTTGTATTCATTAGAAAAAAGAAATTAAATGTTTAGGATTACTTTAGGATAAAAAAAAATACAAAACTAATAAAACAACTAAAATAAAAAAATAAAATGTTACTAATATAAAACGTATTAAATAAAAAGGTATATTATAAAATTGATAAAAAAATAATAAACAAATATATACTAAATATATATATTATATAGTATATAATATATATATACTATGTCATTTTTCATAAAATTCTCAATAACATACAGTATATTCTTTTAGTTTATTATTTGTATCAATAAATTATCAATAAAATAAACAAAAATAATATACTAAATAATATATGAACATATAAATAACGAATATTTATCCTAAAAGTTCTGTGAACCAGTGATATGACTGGAGTTATATGACTCTGTGCTGTGATTTACTGCAGACACACGAGGGCGACAATTCTCCCATTAATAATCTGAATTTTGTTCTAGTTTGTATTGGAAGCAGTTTAAGATAAATAGGATTACATAGGTTGTCATCATTTTCATGGCAAAAAGTAAATGTAATAAAAATATGCGTTGTGTTTTACTTGCATTGCCATCATTTTCACTAAAGCTACCATTAACATTTATTTTTATTAAATAACCAGTTATTTATTCATTTGAAAACAAAAATAACTACACGGCAAAGAAAAAAAAACAATATAAAATTTATTACATCAATTATGCATGCATTTAAATACAAATATTATAGAACTATATAATAAAGTAAATTAAAATATTTATTTTAAAAATTACAATGTAACATGAATGCAAATGATAAATTTAAAATATATAATTATATAATATAATAATGTAATGAAATGAAATGTCTGAATAAAACAAATTATATAAATAAATTAAAATAATATTTATTAAAATAAAATAAAATATAAAATGTATAAAATACATTTTTAAAATTACAATGTATTAAGAAAATAAATTATACATTCTTAAAAAAAAACACACACACAAAAGCACATAAGAAAACACAAATCTTAAACTATGTATCAAGCACTTCATTTGCAAATTTTCTTTCTCAATGGCATATATTTCCCTGTACGCTTATGAGCATGGCCTGCTGTTGATTCAGTCTGGGTTTGTGCATTCTGTGCAATGCAAATTCAACCAAACCACGAATGCAACAAGTAAATGCGGTTTAAGCAAGGCCAAAAGAAAGATGTTTAACATCTGAATCATGCAACAAAAGAAACACCCAAAACTTCCACAATGTTCCGCAACCAGCACAAGAGAACAAACAGAGCCATGAAACTTGCAACTTATAAATGAGCTATGAATGAGAAAGAATCACTATTGGTTTAAACAATCCATTCACTTTAGTGGTTGGTCTAAAAGTGACTGACAAATAAATTAATAAATAAAAAAATTAATAAAAAATATTCATTAACAATAATAAAATATCAAATAAAAATGTATGTAAATATAAATAAATAACAAAATGAATTTTTTTAAAAAACTTAAGAATAAAATCAAGTAAATATAACAAAAAAACTAAATATAACAAAAATATCAAATTAAATAATAAAAATACCAAAATATAAAATAAACATTAATAAAAGAAAAAAATGTAAATATAACAAACAAAAGAAATAAACAAAAGAAATAAAATAATAATTAAATATAACTACAATAAAATAACTAAATATAATAAAAAATAAGAAATTAAAATAAATAAAAATAATATTATATAAAAATAAATTTATAAAATTAAATTAAAATAAAGTAAATATAACTTA